CACGTGGGAAGTCACTAGTAAACCCACCAGTGATGGCCACGTTGTCGACTGTAAGTGGGTTTATAAACTAAAAATTAACCCAGATGGATCATTGGACAAATACAAAGCCAGACTCGTGGCAAGGGGTTTTACACAGCGAGAAGGTATCGACTACGAGGAAACGTTCGCTCCCGTACTCAAGTTTTCCACCCTCAGGATATTAATTGCACTAGCGACATCACTAGGACTGAAGATGGAGCAAATGGACGTTGTCACCGCGTTCCTGAACGGCGTAATCACCGAAGATATCTTTATGAAACCACCCCCTGGATACTGGGAAGGGAAAACATTGAAACTCAAGAAGGCATTATACGGCCTCAAACAAGCTGGAAGAAAGTGGTACGAAAGGCTCGATGAAAGTCTGCATGACATGGGCTTCACTAGGATTGCCAGCGACTTCGGAGTATACAAGATAGGAACATTAGCGAAGTTGCTGTGCATAATTGCCGTATATGTTGATGATATAGTCCTGGTCACTCGTACTCAGGAAGACATGGACAAATACAAGAGAGAGTTAACCAGGCGATTCAAGATGACAGAAGGAGGGAAACTAAAGTATATACTTGGACTGGAAATTACATGGAATACAGATAGTACAAAGTTAAGCCAATCAGCATACATCCGGCAAATGGTCGACAAGTTCCTGGTCGAAAGTGCAAAACCAGCGACAACGCCGCTACCGTTAAAAGAATTTGACAGCGACGTCGAACCATTAAATGAACAAGACCACAAGAAGTATCGCATGATTGTGGGGTCACTACTGTATGCATCGACGGGCACGAGGCCTGACATCAGCTACGCCACCAGTCGACTCAGCAAGCACCTGGAAAATCCAACCCAGGCATCAATGAAAAGCGCAATGCACCTCCTACGGTACCTCAAAGGAACTCAGAACGTTGGTATCCACTTCACAAAAGGAATGACGACGTCGACTGTGTTAGAAGGATACAGTGACGCTGACTTCGCCGGGGACACACAAGATCGAAAATCAACGACGGGCATTGTAACGATTGTATATGGTTCACCGGTGAACTGGTTTTCAAAGAAACAGCCGTTAGTCGCCGACTCAACCACAGTCGCCGAATACATTGCCATGACAGAGTCAGTAAAGGACATAATTTGGACTCGCAGCTTACTGGACGAGCTGGGACTTCGACAGTACAGTCCCACCAACATTCACGTCGACAACGCTGCAGCTAGACAACTTGCTGCAGATCCCAAATTTCACAGTCGCACAAAACACATAGACGTGAAATTCCACTTCATTCGAGAACATGTGGGCAATAACAAAGTAAAGATTGTGCCCGTGACAACACTGCAGCAGAAAGCTGACTGCCTAACGAAAATGTTGGGCCCAAACAAGGCGGAAGAAGGCAGGCGGATGCTCAACATGCATTAACTGCCGGCGACGAAGATAAAAGGAAAAAGGCGCAGAGCACGGACTTAGGCGGTACAAGATTTGAGTTGCGCCGCGAAGTCAAACTTAGGAGGAAGCTCGGACGAGGAAAAAGGGTAGGGACAATCTCGGACCAAGATAAAGTTAAAAGCTTATATTTGGGGTGGTGGTGACAAGATAGGGTTACATTCGGAGCGGCATCAGCATGTATGATGTCACTCACGGCTGTAAGAGAAAGATAGGACGAAGTCACTGGTGCAATCGCCCGTGATTCGTTAAAAGAAAAAGAGTGTGCAGAAGAAGGATGATGACACTCAGTCGAGGAGCCCAGACCCCAGGCTCGCTACAGGACGACAACGACCAACGAGAAAATATTTGCAATGGAGAAGTTGGTGCAGTGAAGATATAAAACAAGCACCGAAGTCGTCCAGAGATGATGGGAGACTCAAGCTCCCAAGCAAACACAACATTACGCTCACAACTCCAACCATGAGCGAAATTGGTAACAGTCAGGATAATGTTTGGGTCGAATTCCCACCTCCCGACCCAAGCCAACACCCCCCAACCAACAACAACGATAGCGATGATGATTTTGAACTAGGTTTCGACATAGGCGCACTAATCAACGATGACGACGAAGTCGATGCACAAGCTGATGACGAATTGGAGGAAGTCGACGAGCTGGAGGAAGAACTAGGCATAGAGGAACAACTGGACAATGCGGTGGAAATATACACACCCTGTGATACGTGCTCAAGGTTCAATTATGTTTGCCAGTATGCTCTGGAGGTCAAGCATGGGCTTTGCTCCCAAAAGTGTTACAGGTGCTATGTTCGTAAGCGCAAATGCTCCAATGACTACTCGAGGCGCTCCATTAACCACAGGCGTATGTTGATCGAGCAAGCCTTCAACCGTGGACAGCGTTCTGCACTACGCACCGAAGTCACCACTGGCTTCCGCCGTTTGCGCGCCGAAGACACTGCCATCCTCCAATCCGTTCATTCTCTCAACAACAACGTCGGCACACTCACTCGTCAAGTGGAATCTCTTCGAGATGAGGTTCACCGTCTCCGAGAACTATCTCAAAACCAATTCATCCTACTCAAGACAATCTACACCGCACACGTCGACGAATTCGAAGGACTCAAGGATGCCATTATCACCGAACTCGAAAATGTCCGCTGGGTGGACTTCACGCATGTCGACGGCAAGACTCGAAACTTTGCAACCTTGTCGGAAATGATGGATGCTGTATTTGGTCCTGTCCTCGAAGAGGACGAGTAACTGTAAGAAAGGACTTCAACAGTCCCGTTCCATAATCCCCCCCCACTGAATTCACTGCTACGATACCAGTTTGATATGTCCGATGTCGCACTCACAACATTTTCCTCAAAAGGGGGAGTGTTAGTTTCCCAGTCTCAAAAAGGTTCGATAAAAATGTTCTAAAAATAATGTTTCCCCGATGTGTTTCCCCGACTTATTTCCCCGATGCACAAGCCAACGACTTCGCTCCAACAGCAATAGCCAATTTGGTGCAACTTTGCACATGTATATATATGGCTCCCCTGATCCACTTCAGTAATTTGAATCTCAGTTGCGACAATAACTTAATACAAACCCTAGAAATGTGCGTCGCTTCCAGCTGTACAGTACAGCCACTCGGTTGCATGCACACACACCAAGAAGCAGCCCGATTTTACTGTATCGGCCAAGCTGCACGCGAAGCTCTTGGCTCCGATTCCAACACTTCTGGCAAACGCTCAAGTGTTGATCTAATCTACCCTTCTCTCTCATCCACACACGAGCACACGCGGACCAACACGACCTCACCTGTTGCTCTGAATACAATCGCTGCTGTTCTTCCGCAGTACAGCACACAATGCCCTCCATCCAGTCCTCTTCGGCATCAGGGCTGCTCGGAAGCCTCTTCGAGCGGGCACAGGATGCCATCTTTGCGCTGTCATCATGTCTTCCCTGCACACCCGAGACATCGGTGCTCAAACTCAACGGACGCAACTTCCAAATCGTCAAACTTCTCGGCGAAGGCGGGTTCAGCTTTGTATACCTCGTCAAGGATCAGAACTCGGGACGCTTCTTCGCGTTGAAGAAGATTCGATGCTCCTCGTACGGCGCCGATTCGTTCCAGGAGGCGATGAAGGAGATTGAGGCGACAAAACGGTTCCGCTCGCCGCATATCATTCCGATCTACGACAGCTGTGTGGTGCAAGATGATGCTGGATCGGGTACGCTGTTCGGCAACTTGCCTTCGAGTGATCCGGATGGTGCTGGTGGAAGAGGAGGAGATGGTGGGAAAGTGATCTACCTGTTTTTGCCATTTTACGAAAAGGGCAATCTGCAGGATGCGATCAATGCACATGTCGTACGAGGAACAAGGTTCGGAGAGCGCGAGATGCTGCAGCTCTTCCTTGGGACATGTAAAGCTGTTCGAGAGATGCACCACTACCGACTGCCTAACGTAGGAGTTACGCGCCGAAGCGCAGGCTCAGCACCGATACCGCGGATGGAAGTCACCCCACCGCAAGACCCCTTTGCTGACTCGCAAGCAGCGCTCGGCAACGGTGAGGAAACATCACTCATCTCGAACCAACACAATGAGGACGACGAGGGTGCCGATAATTCGTCCTACCCACCCAAACCGAACAAGGGCAAAGGGCGCGATTTCGGCCTTGACTCGGACAGCGTCACCCAAACAGCTCTCGACGGCGGTGTCGAGTCGGGTAGCGTAGGTGAGCACCTCCCCTACGCGCATCGCGACATCAAACCGGGCAACGTCATGGTCGCCGACGATGGAAAGACTCCCATCCTCATGGACTTTGGCAGCACCATCAAAGCCCGTGTCCACATCAAGAACCGCAAACAGGCAGTAGCACACCAGGATATGGCCGCAGAACGCTCCTCCATGCCCTACCGCGCGCCAGAACTGTTTGATGTGCCGACAGATACAACTCTCACCGAGGCTGTGGACATTTGGTCTCTCGGCTGTCTGCTGTATGCCCTTGCGTACCTGCACTCGCCCTTCGAGACGACACAGACCATTGAGCAGGGTGGCAGTATTGCACTGGCCGTGCTGAACGGGTCGTACAAGATGCCGAGCGGTGGAGAGGATCCATACTCGGAAAAGACTCGGGAGGTGATCAAGCGTTGCATCCAGGTCAAACCTGAGGAGAGACCGGATATCGATCAGGTCATCGAATTGACACAAGCTGCTTTGCGCGCGTTGGAGTAGGTCCCATCTGGTCTAGAGCAGTGATTGTATTCGATTCTTCGAGATTGTCGGCCACCACGATTTGCTTCGATCTCACCAATAAAGCTGCTCTCTTGTCACCATCACACAGGCTGTGTCGAGCTTGCATTCGTATCCCACCGAGTTTTGGCCCCTACTGATCATCTCGATCCCTATGACTTCCCAGCATGGGCTTCATGATGTACTCTTGGGAGCAGATGTGTCGAGATTGTCGAGATGGCCATGCTGTTGACTAAAAAAAATTTCTATAAATTAAGAAAGTGAATTATGAATGCAATATCGAGGCGAATTAGCCATCAAGGCACTCTGCCCGAGTGGTTAAGGGGTAAGTCTCGAATATTGCTTTCGATCGTCCCATTGTGACGAGTTAACTTATAGGCTCTGCCTGCGTCGGTTCAAATCCGACGGGTGTCGACAATTACGGGTTATTTTTTGCTGTTTTTTCCCATCGTTTTTTTTTTACTTGTTTTGGCATCGGGGGACTGTCTTGCTTCTCTTTGAGAATCTTATTTCTGGCAGCGGCACTTATTGCCAGGCAGGCAAGGTTTGATGGTGGATTCTGTCAGACTAAGGAGGTCGACGAATGATTGGCTTGATGTGAGGGGGAAAAATAATGAGAGGAAAAAAATATGAAGCGAAATCGGGAACACAAAAATAACTAGAAAAGGTCGCGGCTTATACCACATGACCACTATGCGAACCAACCATTCCATTTCGAAAGGCTAAGCATCTCTGAAGCACTGATCAACACTGGCTCAGAGTTTGTACCAAGACAAGGGCTAAGTAGATCGGATGGCCAAACCAGCACGCTTGACGCTGATTAGCTCACCCCACACAAAAAGAATGCTAAGGATGCCACGAGCTGGGTCCAACTAGCTAACCGAGGCGGATGGGTTCTGGCCCTCGACTCATTCAGGAACCATGTGTGGAGGAGTCTCCGTGAGCGTATGTGTGTTGCGGTGAGGCTGCATTAGTGCTGTTGGGATGTGATCAAACAGTTATATTGCTTCGTGGGATGACTTTTGTACAACGACGGCAGGAGTGTCGATGAAGAGTAGTGGATGCGGGGAATGGTTTGCACGGGATTCCTTGCCGAGCGAGATGAATCCGATTAGTCTGAGGGTCAGAAGGGCCAAAAAAAAGGGCCGCGGAGCTGAGAGAGAAACCCACACCATTCTTTTTCTCCATCGCCTACGGTGAAGCCCTTTTGATCTCAGAACAAGAGTGTGACGAGAGAGAAAAGGAAAGTGTCTCCGGCGGCCGGCAGTGGAGCTCCGCAAAACAAAAACGAAGAGAGGGATAAATTTGGATCTCCGCCCGCCGCTCCTCGCCGTGCCGTTGTATCATCCCCCCACGTCCAACATGCCGCGCGTGATCATCTCTTCTTTTTTTTTTGTCTCCTCGGTGCCTGAAATGAGAGAAAGAAGTTCTTATGCAAAGCTGTACAAAGACTCCGGCTCAGAGATCAATGATGCCGGTCGGTATACCTCACCCTCTTGCCGGAAGTGCTAAAGTATTCGGTAGCATGATCCTCTTTGACGATGCAGAGTAACTTTTCCGTTGGAGAACAAATCCTCACACTTGCTCCTTTCCTTGCCTTGTTGTGATCGCTTACTCCCTTGCTAGCGTGACCACATGGAGAGGATCGTCAATTAGCACCAGATCATTTCCTTGGACTGTCCACAAGTGGAAATTGGGACCACAACGGATCTCTCCACCACCGCCCGAATACCCAAAACCGGAAGCCAGAGTCAACGTGGCGATGACCGGAACAGTGACACACATACACAAATCCTGCAACACAACATCTTGCTGCATCCATGTGCAGCAAGCAGCAGCAAACCACCGCAACCTCCATCGACGTGCACATTCTTGTTTCGAGGCTTGAACTTCTTGGCGCATAGTGCATTTTCGGCTCTCTTGTGCCGTAATACAAAAAGCTCCTGTCGTACAAGGTGATCTTTGACTCATCATCCATCTATGAGCTTGATTGTTTTTGTGAAATCTCTTCGATTGGCTCAGTTGCAAAGTGGGCACAGGTGAAGTCTCAGATTGAGGGAAAGACAAAGCAACTTTTGACGAGGCAAACCAGGAAGAGTGGAGAAATGTGTGGTGGTGAATAGAGGCTCGGGCTCGGCAACCAATCATAGCAATGAAGCGTTGCCGAATACACCGGTTGGTCTTTCTCTCCCTCCCTCGCGCAGAAACTCTGCCTGTGTTGCTCTGTTCAAATTTTCCGCCTCGCCAAACAGACTCTTGCCCAAGCTCACGGTTTGCAGGACACTGAAGCTTTTTCAAGTTGGATGAGGAAGGTCCGCAATTTTACGGTTCGTTTTGCTTTGCACACACGCTGACTCTAGCTCGTTGCTAACCATCAAAGTAGGAGTGACATCAAAACACGAAGAAAAGGGTTCGAGTAGTTCCTGGCGGGCGGAACAGACAATCCGTCCCTCTTGACGATTCGATCTCAGCCAACACACACACACACACAGACATTACTTGCCACTCCGCTTGCCTGATCAAAAGAGAAGGAAGGAGCAAAAGACGGGGAGACGGCGGTCGGATGGATAACCGGAGGCTCTGTGATCCTCCCGCGGCTATTTGTTTTACGTTTTATTCATTTTTGAATTTCCCACCTTTTTGGCCTTTTCGCCGGGCCCACGGTTGGCATGGCTCCGACCAGCCGCGCCTCTTTATTTCTCCTCTCTCTCTTTCTCTTTGTGGTTCAAGCCACGCGCCCATCTCATGCATCTCTGGTTTTCGCTTAAGGCACCATACAGTATACCGAAACAGTAACAAACGTTTGGTTGCTGTCATCTCTCCCTCTCTGTTTCTCCTTGGTTGCGGTTTTGTCACTCATCTCGGGGTTGTGTGCCTTCTCCGGCAGAGTTATGCGTGTGGGCGATGCTGTCAACCCACACCCTGGCTCAGATGTGTCATGATGGGCTTTCCGCGGCAATGCTTTTTCCACCCCCTCTCTCGTTACGCATCTGTGAATCGTTGATGACCTTCGTCCAACTACGACTTGCCCACGCTGCAGCCAAACTGTCATCATGTACCCCGCGCTTCACCAAGACAATGCAGGGCCAAAACTCGCACAGCAGATGCATGTCGTATTACCCCGCACCATACTGTACACATTTGCCAAACCACGCCAATTTGCGGGGTCCCAAGCAAAAGAGAGAGCGTTCCTTACAGTCATACATTAGCAATTGATCAGCTGCCCCACACACCCTGTGCCCGAACAGAGAGAGAGAGAGAGAGAGAGAGAGAGAGAAAGGGAACGAGATCATGTGGGGTTTTGATGCATTGGTTTGGGTTGTGACTCCCACGAGTCTGTTTTTTTTTTTTTTGACATGGTTTACCCACCTTTCCTATATGCATAGAGATGCGCAATGGGTGGGGACAAGGTTCCCGCGACAGGCGCTTCATCAGTCGTCCACTTCCGTCGTCTGATGATGGGATGGGATGGGATGAGATGAAACGAGATGAGTTGGACAGTCAGAACGGGGCAAAGGTTCCAACCCACGCCACCTAGAGCCTTGGCAACTGCCCCAAACGGATGATCATCCCAGGCCACTCTCTTGCAGTAACTCTATCCTCATTGCTACACTTTTCCCCTCCCTTGTAGGACACCTGCCCAGCACTTCGAGGATAGGCATATAAAGGACGACCTGGTTCGTTGTACATCAAGCATACTCCTCTTCAGCTTGAACCCTCCCCTCTCACCAGCTTCCCGCCTCCACTCCCTCCCCCTTCCTAGAACACTCCACTCCGGGAGTCAACAGGTCGCCTATCATGTCGCAACCCGCCCAAACACCCAGCTACATCCCAGCCGACCAACTCACCCACGACACCTCTGACAAGGATGCCAACTCCGCCTCGTCTCACCATTTCCAGCGTGCTCACCGCAAGAATGGCGAACTCGAACTTGGTGTCACCGAAATCCTCGAAGGTCGTTCCGATGTCCAGCGTCATGTAGCCACCTCCTCCGGTCTGGCCGACTGGTCCGGTCGAGTTCGACTGGAGCAAGCCATGCCCCGCCTCATTCCCGCTCTGATCGCCGAGTTTTTCGGAACCATGTTCTACTGTCTCGCTGGTGAAATGGCCACCGCTGGATTCTTGATTACCACCTACGGAGGTTCTCCTCAGGGTAACTTAACTATGATCGGTTTCGCCTACGCTTTCGGTATCACTTTTGCTATTGTCGTCTGCGCCACCACTTCTGGTGGTCAATTCCACCCTGCCTTCACCATCGCTCAGGTCGTCTTCAAAGGTTTCCCAATCAAACTCGCCCCGCTCTACATCTGCGCTCAGATCGTCGGTGCTATGGTTGCCTCGCTCATCGTCGTCGGTTCGTGGCACGATGAATTGATGAAGATCACCCATCTTCTCAGGGCTACTGGCAAGGGTGCTACCATTTTCACCGCTGAAGGACCCGCAGGTGTCATTGCACTTTTCCCCACCCCTGGTCGTTCGCTCGGATCGATCTTTGTCAACGAGTTCTTCGCCGATATCCTCGTTGCCATGATCGTATGGGCCAACTTGGACGCTGCCAACCCTTTCACTGGTCCTCAGGTCGCTCCTTACACCATTGGCCTCGGTTTCGCCGTCGTTGTCTGGTGTTTCTCGTCTTCCAACGTCGCCGCCAACTCTGCTAGGGATTTGGGTGCCAGGTTTGTCTGCGGAATGTTCTGGGGCTCAGAGTGCTTCCCGTCTGGATACACCGCTTTGGCCGCACTCACCAACATCCCCGCAACCTTGATCGGATGCGGTATCTACACCTTCTTCCTTAGCGACACCAGACGTCCCCCTGCCACTGTGGCACTCAACCACATGCACGAGGAACACGTAAAGTCGATCGAACGCGCAGAGACCCTTCACGCCGAGATGCTCGACCAGAAGATCGCCCAAACCATCAGCAGGGGTGGCGACGCCAGCGCCCTCCAGAAAAAGAGGACCAACCTCAGCGTCAAGAACTTCTAGAGCAATCTTCTCCACCACCATCAAAATGGCGATCGAAGTGGATAGCAAGACGTACTTTATGCCGTCCTGCCTCCTTGTCTAGAAACAGAAATGTCATGGGAAAGTGTTACACCCGAAAGATCACCTATATGTGCGTGTGTGTGTGTGATGGTATTGTCCGTGGTGTGGCGCTGAACATGCTTTTGTGCAAAAGTGTCTATGATGTGAATTTCCTTATGCAGGGTGTTTCTGCAGATCACCACTCGACCTGATCCCTTGCCGCCTGCCCAACCAACCGCAGCACGGCGTCCTCTTCATCCAACAGCTGCTTGACAAAGCTCAAGCTCAGCCTACATCCCTCTCTCCCTGGCTCCAGCCCATTCGCATCCGCTTCATCGCCATCATCACCATGAGCCTGGAGAATCTTTTCTGCGCCCACCAAGTGAATT